GGACATTTCAGTTGGGATGAAGTGAACAATGGAACAAAAGACGCCGCTGAAAACGTGTCACCTGGAAAAGCCACTGTCGAAAAAGAAACTCTACTCGGTTTTGAGAAGGGAAACAGTGAAGCTCTTCATGAAGTTACTACCACTGATGTAACTGTTACCGATGATAGGACAATTCCCGATGGAGCAGATGAACCTCACGTGAAGCAGAAGCCAACGAGATGGAGACCAGTACGGAAGAAGATACGTCCCGTAAAATTAAGAGACTTTGTTGAATTTTAATTTTGTGTTTGTAAATTCTTTCCATTTAATTAAGTTATTGTTAATTTTCTATTGGTTTAATGTAAGTGGCTGTTGTTCGGGACGAACAATACTAAGGAAGGGGAAGTGTTACGACAGCGGAAGTCACGCGAATGCTCGAGTGTTTACTAGATGTGCGGTATTCTTGTATATAAGTGCGCCAAACAATGGAACAGAAGGGCAGGCAGAGACAGACGGACAATTGAGTCAAGCGCGGTAGTAGGCGTAATCGTTCGTTGTGAATTATAGAGTTTTTTAAGTTATTAAAGTGACTGTAAAAATTAAGTGTATTGCAAAGTTGTATTGTGAAAGAATAAACTAGTTTTATTTAAGAAAGGACTTGTATCGCTGAAGTTATTCGGAAATAATTTTTTACGAGTAATTAACAACGACCAGAAACGTAACAGCTAAACAGTAGAATTCAAACGGCAGATCAAGATGCCTATTAGAGACACAAAAATGATATGACGAGGAGGGGGAGTAACATTTTAAACTTAAAACGTCAGTTGAAAAAAAACCTCATAGAGGAGACTAGGTGAAATGTAGGTGTTTAAAAACTATTGCGGCCTTTTTTACATGTCTGGTCCCCGTGACTTGCTTTATGGGAATAACATTTGCTTGTCTTGGGGCCTTTCCGGCCTTCTTCACAGTTTTTTCGGACGCTTGAGGCGATATCTTTTTGATCTTCTCTCCCTCTCTTTTTCCGAGTCTGAAATGAAAAACAAACCACAAACAAAGAAAAAATGCTCAGGCTTCCCTTCAACTCGTATTGATTTTTCGCCTTTTGTTTTTGGTTGCGGTTTGTTTTTCATTTCAGGCTCGGAGAAAGAGAGAGAGAGAGAAAACTAGAATCCTACCCACATGTGGTTAATTCACGTGCATTTCCGTCATATATAAATAACCTTCTGTATGTTGATACATAAAATATGTTGTATAAATTATATGATAATATTATATCCTAGAATATGATAAGATATAATCCAACAGAATCTGATGAGGAGATCTATGAGCTCACAAAAAGTTTGATAAAACTGATTTCAGATGTCTTATTTTATTGATAAATTTGTCTATTTTAATTAAAGAAGGCTGGTAGCACTAACGTTTAGTTATTTCTGAGAGCATTAGATCTGTGAAAAGTGTTTTGTAATTTGTTACAAGGCCTTAAGTGTTAAAAGTTAGTTTCAAAATACTTTTTAAGCTTATTTTACGTATTTCTAATTTAAAAGCATTCATTATTTAAACTTTAATTTGATATCAAGACTCCCATAGCATAAAAAATAATGCAAGTAAAGTGTTACTCTGTGAATGAAAATTTGTTTTAGAAGTTATCTTATATTTCTTAACGTATTCATAAACTTAGAAGAAACTACTTAATAAATCACATAAAATCTGTATTGTGGGTCAGCTATAAGAAAAGTGTCAATTTAAATAACAAGCCTTTTTCACATTGACAAACAATGTAAGCCTAATGAATAAAAAATAGCGTTTATTTTCTAAAAACAATATTCAATAGATTGTGATAAAGTAATGATCTTTGAGGGTTGCCGAGGTTTCACGATGTTTTATTTATTTTTACTGAATTTAAGTTTATATTCTGTTTCAGTGAGAGCGACTGCCCCCTCGTAGCTAGATACATATGGTGATTGTGGTTTAGATTTGGGATAGTTCTGGCTTTACCAAGATTGTCTGTTTCATATTTTAAATTGATAATCATACTTCATATTTGAGATTTACTATTATAGTATCACAACCATTTAGTAAATATAATTCTGCAGATATCTCTTACTGTAACAGTAACTGTCAACAACAAAATCCATAGTTCCTGTTTTGCAGTGTATACCCTGATTTTATGTTGCTGTCTTATATGCTCGTAATAAAATACAATCAAACACATTCCGTATATATATCGCTATAGAGCCCTTTACTTCTCTACTTTAAGACGCGATCAACGTTAAAAGAAGTTGATAGCTGAAATTTCATCATAAGGCAATAGTATTAGGCCTGTTATAATTTTAAAACTACGTTATTTATTCAGTACCTTACAGTTTTTTTTCAAGAAGAAAAAAGTGTATAATAATATTTCAACCATACTCTGCCCGCCATATAAAATGATGACTGTGCGTTTCGTTCAATACAAAATTTACCAGGGCGGCTGGAACACAACAAACGTAGTCGTGGTAAAAAAAACCTAAAAACTCTTCATATAAACGCTTTTTCACAATTGGCTAAGTTTGATTATAATTAATTATACTTGTCATTACTATTAGACCTATTATATTTTTAACACTACATGCTTCCAAGTTATGGACGGATAGTGCCAATAGCCATCTTAGCTTTCCAGGAAACGTAATGAAACAAATTTATGCATGTTGTACTTAGAAAAATAATTAAAAAAAAATAAATTTAAATTTGTGTTACTGATGTCGTTAACCATCCCATTTTCCATGTTTATGAAAACCAAAAGTATATTCCTTATTTTGTGATAATTTCAAAGCTTAAGTACATTTGTTAACTAATTTATATTTTATTCGTAAGTTTCAAGTCATTTTTCACTGTAGTGAAAGCGTAGTGGAACTTTGGTTAAATTTTGAATATTCTTAGAATTTATTGTGAAGTCAATCAACAATGTAATAAAGGATTTAATATAACGTTTTTACTAAATTAAGCTACGAAAAGAACGACATTCAAATACGAGTTGTAGGTTCACACGTATTCTACAATTCTTTCATCAGAAATCACGTTATCTTTTCAAGTAATGCCTGTAAAAATGTTGTTTCTTATCCATCATTCATATTTAAATGTTTTTAATACATTTATTAAACTATAATACACATATCGACACAAAATGCTATTTGAAATTTGCTACAGAAGGTTAATTGCACTTCAGAACAATTTGCATATGTTAATACAGTGACGTGCCACCACAGTTGCCAGTTGTGATTCCACAGGCAACATTATCAGTGTATGTTTAGTTCACATTGAATTCTCAGCTATGCAACAATTCCGTACCTTCACAGGTTGAGTTATGGGTGGATGAATATAACAAGCTGAAGAGGACTATTTCTATAACAGCGTTATATAACGATCTAAGGAAATTTACACAAAAGAGCGATTAGGACAGTAATGGTCTTCTTAAACCACGCCTGAACCCAATCCTAGCAACTTTTATATTCAAAAAATAAGAGGGTGGTTACGAAAGAGAGCAGTACAATCCAAAAAATCACTGCGATGAAGCTAGGCATATCTCTTGGTGCCTTGAATAAGATAATACGACAATGAAGGTTCACTAGTATCCAGACACACTTAGAAACTAACAAAAAAGTAAGACGGCCGATAACCCTGGAATGACAGTTATCCCACTCGATCACTTACTTGTCATGATGCAGGGTGCAGCTGTAATGGACTTTTGTGCTTTAGGTTTACCTAAACATGATCTTGGAAGCTGACTCCACATACACTGGAGGATACGTGGAAAACTTGCTAAGATGTATGGTCTAAGATTGACATCATCATCATCCTTCGTCGAAGTTTGTTATACGGAAATTGATTCAATGGAGAAAACGATTTATTTATTTATTTTTACAATAGCATCCAACAGATAAAAATAAAATGAAAACTTTTTTTTTCTTGATCAAAGCTTATCTTAACAATTTTTTCAAGCTTGACATCAATTAAGGTAAGTACTTTTATTATATCCATAGATTGTCATATCATGTGAAGACATTATATTATATGTTACTGTGTGTGCCAGTCTAGATATGGTATGTTTCGTAATTAAATACTTATTTTAAATGAAATGTAGATTACGCTAGATAAAAACAGTATCCAAAAATCAATGTTTAAACATATTGTCTTGAAGGACTATAATGTTTTGTCATAAAAGAAAGCAAATAAATTTCTATTTTGATACAGTATTTATTATGTGCCGTATTGTTATTCTAGTGGACAAACCGTGGTAGCATCATGACAAATAGGTGAGGAGCCTGTTTAAAAAGAATATAGCCACATTTGTTGACTAACATTTTAGTGCTGAAACTAAAATTTAAAAAAAATGCAAGGTGAAGTTTAACTGCTCACTTTATTAAATAAAGGATAGATAAAACACCTATCCGCTTACATACTACACCAGTTTAGCTTTATGTTTATTGGTCAAAAAGTTATATATATTCTAATTTTCATGCTAGTCAACATTGAACATCCATTGTTATTGTGGTTAATGTTTCTAACCCCATCTCAGTTTTTATCGTATGTTTTCTTCGTTCATCCTGTTTTTCAATTAACATACTTCTGTTTTTCATGTAATTTATCTTTTATAGCGGAAACAACTACTTTATCAGTTATAAGGAAAAGCTGTCTCTTAGATAAAGAAAACGATAATTACTTTTGTAAGACCAAGTAGTAAGTATGGATATTTTTGGTTTTACAAACCCATAATTTTCAGAGTTAAAGTTAAAGAATTAAATAGGTTTTTAATTTATAAAAATCAAAGTTTCATTGTGAAGCTTATTGCTTCAGAATCAAACTTTTAATTTACTAATGAATGATTTGCAATTTGTAAATCAGTAGTTTATTGTTGGCATTTTCTTGTTCGAGGACTGAATGAATAACTTACAGAAGTAATATGATGTTTTTGAAAGTTCATACCTTGAATTATCTATGATTACATGTTTTGTAATGAAATGACTTTTCTCTTAAAAATACAGTTTGCAGTTTCTTCAACATGTTCCATTATTTTATTTCCTGCTGTCAGAAAAATAAATAAGAAAAATAATTTATTCATGCCCAATTATCTCTTTCAGTAAAATTTTAAGCTGTTCCCAAACATTTCCAATTTCTTCCTTGTAAGGCTGGAAATATGCCAAAATCTCGCGACCAAGTTCCACACTATTTTCTTTGGCTTCCACGACATACTGCAAAAGTAAAAAAAAAAAAAACTGTAAAAACTGATAATTGTAAAACTTTTATATTTAAGTTGCTTTCTGAAATCATTAAAAAAAATTATCATTCCCTTGATACGATTTTAAGTAATCAAACCGAATCTATCTTTGTTCTTGTAATTTTGTGAACTTTGCTGTCTTTTTCAGTGTTGTGTTTCATAGAATTATTTTTATTTCACAATAACTCAAGAAGCCCTACAAGAAATTAAAAAACATCTACAAAGAAAAAGGTACCTGGCAAAAGTGTTCCAATTTAGTACAATCAGCAGATCTTTGATCAATGATATGAAATAACAACGATTTAAGAATGTATTGTCTAGCAACAAATATTGTCGTCATATGGAAAACTGCAACCATAAGAGAGCAGATTTTATGTATGATTTAAGAACGAATAATTTATTTGTAGTAATAATTTCTCTTGAACCTACCTCGCTCAATTTTGATTTGATCGAGAGAAATTTATCTTGGATTGCTTTTAGTCCATCTGTCCAGGCATTTTTCATCCAATCTGTGAGGACCAAGAAACTTTCCTTAACCTTGGGATTCAGTTGGTTTAAGTAATTTCGGAGTTTGTGCCATGCGTCATTAAGGTCCTTCGGACTAAGTCCGATAAAATTTAAAATTTTATCAAGAACTACTTTAATATCCTCATTTGATACCTTTTTCGTCATTTCTTTTAGACCAAGTAGAACCTAAAAAAAGAAAAAAATTTTAGTAAAATAATTTCCAGTTAGCTTCCGAGTTGGCGGCTTCTTTAATTAACGCAATAAGAAATTAGTTAGAGGTGAAGCATATGAACTGTGGAATTACAATCTTAGACTAATGTGTACAGATTTTCACTTCCAGGTGTCACAGGAAAATTGAGTTTGTTGTTGAATTTCGCGAAACGCTATTCGAAGGCTATCTGCGCTAGCTGTCCATAATTTTAAAGTGATAAAGTAAAAGAAAGGTATGCTAATAAATAACATCCATCGCCAATTCTTGGGCTACTTTTTAGCAACAAAAAGTGGGATTGACTATCACATTATAATGCCCCATGATTGAAAGGGCGAGCATGTTTGGTGACGAGATTCAACAACACGACTCAGATATTGTGATCCCTAACCACCATGCCATGCAAGACTGAATAAGTGAGTGATAAACTTAATATTATAATGACAATGTTATTATATAAGAAAAAACTTTTATTACATTATAAATAGTGGTGTTATTTCTACAAATGAAAATAAATGTTTTATTCGAGGCACATAAAAAATAAATCAGGATTTAAAAGTATTACCTCATTTTTCGTGTCTATATTTCCAATATACTTCCGCAGTATTTCAATATTGTTGTCAGTTATAATCTGTAATTAGTAAAGTTAGAAAACAATTAATTAACAAACAAATATAAATAATAAGACCGAGCACGATTAGCATTAATGTTTATTTTGGAAGTTATATGAAATTATTTGTACATGAAAAAATTGAGACTCGAGCCAATCAAATTTCGTGTGAGATATTACTTTTTTGAGATTATATGTTGTATTTCATTATTAAAACATAATTGTTTTCATTAGCTTTCGAAAAGGAAACTTTATTCTCTACATGTATTCTCACTAAATTTTCAATACAGGCATAATTATACAAAAATAATTTGAAGGAAATGTGCATATTTATGTACGTTAATTTCTATTTATTACCAAAACGAAGGCAAGAATATCTATTTTTTCGTTGCTTAGGTTTCGTTACTACTTAACCAAATATTAGTAAAAGCACTTTTATAATATTTGATTTTTTCCGCTTAAGCAATAC